CTCACTAATGAACCCTCACTGCATGTCGCTGAAAGACACATGTTCTCTGAAGATGAGCCCTGCGCTGCATCACCACGCCCTTTGCTGATGCACTCTGCCCTTGTTTACACCATGTGCTCTCTGTGGGGGCAATATTGCCCCCAAGGGGGTGAAAATTTGTGATTTTAGATATTACAACGGTTTGTGGCCCTCCAAAGGGCCACAGAACATAAAACAGAAGCACAGTATATCTGTGGTATTAAATTTTCATGGGAAGAAGGTGATAAGGGAACACATGTTGAAAAGCTTCATTAGGGAGGACAAAAACGAGGAAAGAGTTGAGAAACACTGATTTATGCAAAGAGGTCTGTGTCTTTGGCTAAGAAGTTATAATTATGCCAAGTCATCCATACCCTTTCATTCTGCCTCTCCTGCGTCCAAAGACAAAGGAGTCAAAGATAAAATTTGAGCTCACATATGTTAGTCTCTCCAGCTTTTCATTGGGAATGATCATGTTTGCCCTGACTTCACAGCTGGCGTGAGCTCTATCCTCTAATTGCATAGCTCTGGTCATTTTTTCCACTCATTTGGCATTTAGCTCTTAGCATTAGTGACCTTGCATCATTTGTGTGTATCTGTTCTGTCTTTATAACTAGATTATAAAGCATTTTATGTTAGAGACCACGTGTTCATTTGATAGTTCATTCATTCATCATACATTCATGGAGGACCTCCAGGCGTGGTTCTAGGTTCTAAAGAGACAAAGAAGACAGGACATAGTCTCTGACTTCAAAGACTTCCCAGTAGTGAAACAGGGTGACAAGCGTAATGACAGAGATATGTACAAGTTGCATAGAGAGGCATCCTTCCCAGTTGGGAGGAGACAGTGCTTGAGCTGAGCTTGAAGGAGAAAGGATGAATTTCCCAGATAGAATATGGAACAGGAAGACCATTCCAGAATGAACTGGAAGCTTCCAAGATGCCTAGAGACAATGATATATATGGGAAGGGACTGAAAATGAGGCCAGGCCAAAGCAAAAGAGGCCTTGAAGCTTATTATAAGGGCATGGATTTTATCCACAAAGCAATGGGATGCCACTGGAGAATTTAATTTAGCCAGTGGCATGATCATGATCAGCTCTCTCTTCCCAAAAGCTCACTCTGGTTGCAATGCGGGTAGGCATAGATGAGGATTAGAACCTGGTGAAGAGATGTTGCAACAATGCAGAATTGGTGATGCCCAGACAAGGGCAGTGGGTGGGGGCGGAGTGGAAGGAACTAATCATAAAAGTTACTTGAGAAGGAGAATCCAGAGAACTTGTTGATTAATAGGCTATGGGGGGAGTGAAAATTGATGCCACCACTTTGAAGAGAGATTTATCAATATCTATTAAAATTAAAAAATGGAATAGTCTATGACTCAGAAATGTCATTTATGGTTATCTACCCTAAAGAAGAATATTTGCTCAACACTGTTAAAAAAAAAAATCAGACCAACATGTCCTTCAATAAGAAACTGGATAAAGAATATGACATTAGGGGCCGGCCCCGTGGCTTAGCGGTTAAGTGCGCGTGCTCCGCTACTGGCGCCCGGGTTCGGATCCCTGGCGTGCACCGACGCACCGCTTCTCCGGCCATGCTGAGGCGGCGTCCCACATGCAGCAACTAGCAGGATGTGCAACTATGACATACAACTATCTACTGGGGCTTTGGGGAGAAAAAGGGAAGAAAAAAAAAAGGAGGAGGATTGGCAATAGATGTTAGGTCAGGGCCGGTCTTCCTCAGCAAAAAGAGGAGGATTGGTGTGGATGTTAGCTCAGGGCTGATCTTCCTCACAAAAAAAAGAAAAAGAATATGACGTTAAAAGGAATGAGCAGCACCTCTATAAAACAAAATGGGTCTGTCTCCAATATGTTCTCTGACTGAGTGAAAAAAAAGCCAGGTGTAGAATGATGCATATGAGTGGTGATGTCCTATAGAAAAACTCATTTTGGCATTTGGGAAAGCCCTTTGCAAACAGCTGGCTTCGCACCTTCTCACCCTAAAGTCGACTTCTTAGACATCAAGTCTTACTCACCCACGTGGCACTTCTACTTAGGCTTCTTATTTCTTTAAAAAAATTTTAATATTGGGTATATACAAAATACTATTCATAGAATGTAAACTATACAGAGTTTGGATACAGTGAACACTGTGCTCACCACCAACTGTGAGAACAGAAAAACATTGTCATTATTTTCAGTGTCTTGTGTGTCCCTCTCAAATCCATCCTATCCTCCCCCTCTCAGGGTAACCATTTTCCTGAATTTTGTTTATAGTTCCACACGTGTTCACATTGTTTAGTTTTGTGTGTTCTTGAACTTTATGGAAGCATATGGCATGTATTATTTTGTAACATTCTTTTTTTACCAAAAATTATATTTTTGAGGTTCCATGTTTGTGTTAGTCAAGGTTCTCCAGAGAAAGAGAACCAATAGGAAAGGTATATAAAGGAGATTAATGAGGAAATGGCTCACGCGATCACGGAGGCAGAGAAGTCCCACCATCTGCTTTTTCCAAGCTGGAGACTCAGGAAAGCTGGAGGTGTAATTCCAGTCTGAGTCTCAAGACCTGAGAACCAGGGGAGCTGATGGTGCAAATCCTAGTGCGAGGGCAGGAGAGGACCTATATCACAGCTCAGTAAACAGGCAGGAAGAAAAAGGGGTGAAGTCCTCCTTCCTCTGTCTTTTGTTCAGATTGAATGAGGCCCACCCACATTGGGGTAGGCAATCTACTCTACTAAATCCACAGATTCAAATGCTAATCTCACAGACACACCCAGAAATAATGTTTAATCTGGGCACCCGGTGGCCCAGTCAAGTTGACACATTAAATTAACTGTCACAATGTTGAATTTAGCTATAATTTTCATTTTCACTTCTCTATGATGTTTCGTTTTATGAGTCTGTTTCAAATTTATCTACACATTTTAATAGTAAAGGACATTTTCAGCATTCCTCTTTGTCTCTGGCAATTATAAGCAGTGTTGCTATGGACATTCCTGAGAGTTACTATGCAGTATATACAAGGATGGATGTATATCTTCAACTTTACTGTATGATGCGATATAATGCCAAATTCTTCTCCAGAGTGGTTGTATCAATTTACATTCCCACTAACAATATATTAATTATTCTGTTTCTTTCACATTGTCAGATTATTGTCAGGCTAATTTTTTTCAATCTGGTAGGAGTGAAATGATAGCTAGCAAGCAAATGGGGATCTCAGTCCTACATCCACAAGGAACTGAATTCTGCCACAACAGTGTCAGCTCGAAAGAGGACCATGAGCTCTAGAGTGAAACACAGCCTGGCTGGCACCCTCACTGCACATTGTGAGCCTCTGAGCAGAGGACCCAGCAAAGCTATGCCTGCATCCTGACCCACAGAAACTGAGATAATGTGTATTATTTTAAGCCACTAAGTTTGTGTTAATTTGTTGTGCAGCAACAGATGACCGATACAATATTGGATCCATGGAGAAGGAAATATAATCCCAATACACTACTTGGTTCTTCAGTGAACAGAATTTATATGGCCTATGAAAGGGCTGAAAACTGTTTTCTTTGGTTAAAAAAATTCTGTTGAAGGGCTTAGATTGGCCGAGCTGGGTCGGGTGCCCATCCCTTGACTGATCTGTGACTAGGAAAGCAGGATTTGTTAGAAGATGATGGCTCCCACTTCACCCACGTGGTTTGAGGGGACACTTCCCAGAAGAGAGGAGCTTTCATAGTTGAAATGATAGATTTCTACCATGCCAATGCAATTAGAAAAGGCAATTAGAAAAGACAGAAATATATCTAAAAGGAGATCATTTTTTCATTATTTGTAGATCAAATGATTATATAAAATCATTTGAAAATTAGTAAGAATAGTGTGTAAATGCAAGATGATTAATATGAAGATCGATATAAATTATAGCTTCTTATATCAGTAAAAGTTATAAAATAAAATGGAAGATCCATTCATAGTAGCAATGAAAGACAATTTACCAAGAAATAAACCAAAATGGAAATCTGTAGGGTCAATATGAAACAAATTTAATCTGAGACATGCCCTGTACTTGATTGACTGTCAGGAAGGGTAATATGACCATTACATTCTAATAAATGCTTATTTCATGAGGGATAATATTTGCTGGCTAATTCTCATTAAGGTTACTAGCTTAATAGGATCTTCTTTCTTGCCAGTACCTACACTTTACACAGTGAGTCTCAAAATTTAGCATGCATAAGAAATACCTAGGAATGTTTATTGAAATGCTTGTTGCAAGACACCACTCTAAGAGATTTTGAATCAGCACCGCTGAGCAGAACCTATTCACCTGCATTTTAACTTGGAAAAACACTGCTTCAACCCAAAGGAAGGCATCTCAGATGGTGGCATCTCAGTTCTATCTGGAGAGCAGCAGGAGAGAGATTCTCAGGAGTGAACATTTTTCTGGCAATCCTCAAGTAACATCATAGTAATTGGGCACTATGTATGTTTACTTGTGGCTCTTAAGACTATTTACACCCAGGGGATTATATTTGTACCTGGTGTTTGTATGAGGTTGTATGTGAGGAATCTTAAGGTATATACGCTACATTGTTTGTTCTCCATGCTTTCTCTGAAGTCTTCCTTATGTTCTGTGAATTTGGAAGGGAAGGAGGGAAGGTAGCAATGGTGTCAAGGACAGGTGGGAGGAGAGGCAAGGGGGGCCTATAGCATGGTCTCTGAGAATGGCAGATGCCCAGGCATTGTGCTGGAGAATATGCTCATTCCATTGTTTGGCAATGGTTGGTTAGGTATCAATGAGGCAGAGCAGAAGACCAGAACGGAAACCATGACACCCACTCCACTGTAAGTTTGGGTTTCCTCCAAAACCATTTCCTTTCTGTATGTGGATGCAGTGAGCTGGATAGAGCATATAAGTGGGCTTCAGGAAGCTCCCTCCACACTCTAGAGCCTAAAGTGGCCATTCCAAGCTTCTTGCCTCTGCCTTTCGTCAGACCTACCTTCAGTTCCATGGGAGGCTTTGAGGGTCATCTGTTCCCAGGGCTGTCTCTCTTCTTCTATGGACTTTATCATGCACGACTCGTCTCCAGGGCTTTGATATGTAACTACCCTATCCAGTATCCTCCACGCCGTCCCTGGAGCAAAGGAAGATGGGCGAGGCTACAGCAAATATACTATGTCGGGTTCGTGAAGATATTGAGCGCCTGCATTTTAGTAGCCCAAGAGCTGCATAGCGTTCAGGGACAGTTTGTACTTATCAGCAAGATATATCATCAGAGAAACTTTTTGTACCGCAAACAGTGGCAGCATCTCACTCTATATATGACCTTTTTCCTGAGTGGCTGTGTAGATGTGGTGAGCCAGAACGTGCTGCCCCAGAGGTGTGCTGCTCTGGAGCAAGGTGCCCAAGCTCTGGGCATATTTCTGTTTGTGGCCCTGATGGTGTCTCACGTGCAGGACTCAGAAGGAGTGGAGCTGCAGTCTCACGTCCTGCTCACCCAGGCCATGTTCCTGCTGTCGCTGGTGGTGATCGCAGAGCTGTGGGCTCCCAACATGCCACAGCTCCGGGTGATGAAGGCCTTTTTCTACATGGTGACAGGCTCTTGGCTGATGCAGATAGGGTTTATGCTGTTCAAACCAATCTCTGGCCATAAGTGGATGGATGATGACAAAAACGACGTTGTGTTTGTCACCACCTTCTTCTGCTGGCATGTGGCTTTCATTGCCATTTTGATGATCTGGATCTATGGCTTCTCCTTTTTGTGGTATTGTTACATTTGTTGATGTCTGGACCTGGTGAGCCTGGAATGGTTCCTGTCACCTGCACATTCTGGAATACCTGGATGAGAAGTTGTGGGAAGTGGCATTGTCAGAGAAGAGGACCAGGTGTCCTTCCTTCAGAGGTCCCAGCCGAGGCAGCAGACTCTGCTGGGACAGGCATCCCCCTCTCTCCCCTTCTGGCTTCTCTCAGTCTCGTTTGCTGAGCAGTGTGCAGAGGAAAGGCAGATAAAACACAAGAGGCGTGTGACTGTGACCTTCACTCTCCACTCCCCAAGTATTTCCCCCACCTCCTCTCTCTCTCCTCAACTCCCGCCAAGGCGATCTGCTCGCCCTGCTCCTCTGTGCACGCCTCACTCTCTTCCCGGGAGAATGTGAAAATAAATGTACTATATCCTGCCTTTGGGCCTTTACAAATGTCCCTCACCCACCACATAGAATACTGACCACTAGTCACATTTAGTATACCATAATAATTTACATTCTTTAGTACATCATAATAACTTACCCATCATAATAACCACCTCCTCATCCTTTCTCTTTCTGAATCTCTTCAGTACTCCTAGTAAATCCGAACTGTTATTTTGACTATATAGAACTCATGGAACTGTTATTGAGTTCTTTCTTTTGATTACTTTATGATTTATCAAACAGAAAAGTCAGATCCTTTTTTTTCCAGCTTTATTAAGGAATACATTAAGTATATTATTGAGGTATACATTAAGTATACTAAATGCAGAAAACTGCACATATTTACTGTATGCGTTTTGATGAGTTTGGACATATGTATACCGTGATACCATCACCACAATCCTTAAAGGCAATTTCCTCTGTAGGGTCTAGTAGAACAGAGCAACACCCTACATGTAGTGAGGGCTCAAAGGGCTCGTCTGCCTCCAGAATTTCTCCATCCCCTGTCTCCCCAAGTGTAGAGTCTGTCAGATTCTTCTACCTGGGTAGATCAGCCCGTTACTCTCTATCCATTTGCCTCAATCCATTTCCAAGTAGTAGACTCACCTGGACCCACTTCTTTCTGGTTCTCATGTATAATAAAGTGCGATGGCTTGTTTATTCTACTTACTTTTCTTTTTAATCCTCACAACTATCTTAACAGGAAGGTTTATTGATGATAATCGAAAACTCAAAAGGGTTAAGAAACTGGCTTAAGGTAGTTAGACGCTTAGCTATGTCACAGAATGTTATAGCTGGGTGTCAAGGAGGGGAGGAATTCTGAGGAGAGAGTTAAATTATTGAGAACTTGCCAAAGAATGTCTTTAAGCCACCCATTCTGCTCCTCTCCCTGCTGCCCCCAGGATGTGGAAAATCCGTCAAACTTTCCTTACTCCTGGTCACAACTAAAATATGGAGGCTTAGGACAGAGTGAGGCTGGGCAAGGATTCTAGAGGGTCATCATCCTTCTAGTTTACCTCTAGCTTCTAGATCCTAAGAGAACTGGATGCATCCCTCTTCCTTTGGTTCTGGCCTTACGCTTCCTTGTTAATTTTCTCGTTCAAAAGTTAAGGTGTAGCGGGTGTGAATTATTGTCTGGTTGTGAAGGCCTCCACCCTCTGGTTTTGGGGGCTCGTGAGCATTCTGAGTTATTGCAAAGCGGGGAGGTGCTTCCTAGTATTGTTTAGATGGGGCTCAGCAATGTCTCAGAGTCCAAGATGGCATGCACGGGTGAGATGTCCAGTGTGTGGCCAGCAAGCAGCTCTCCACGGAGGACTTACACCTCGCACCAGTGGGATGACCAGGTAACAATGCTGCTCTCCATTGGAGATGAGTAGTGGTCCCCGGGGTGGAAATAAAATATTCCTCAGGCATTAGTTCAGCTTCTGTGCTTCTCCTTGGTCCTGGTGACCCATGGAGCTCCGCAGTTTCCCCGCTGGGTTCTGCCCTGTTCCTGGTTGTCACCTCTAGGTCCCATCCTCTTGTTCCTCGCCCACAATCTTAGGGATCTTTTCAGGCCTGTCCCATCCTTGCAACACCTCCTTCCTCTAGCCTAGTTGAAACTCCTCTAGTGTCCTGAGGATGGGATGGTATGGAATCTATGTTTTCTCTATACTCTTTCCTAGAGATATGGCAAAACTCTTGTTCTACTTCACTCAGGCATCCTCTTTTTGATATTAAGAGCATATTTTGGATTTTTTTAACCTAAAAATTGACCTTTTTTTTGATATTTTGATATTACAATCTGACCTCATCTTGAAGCAATATCTTTCACTAAATCAGGGAAAAGTCATATATAGGGTAGAAAATCAGAGCCCAAGTATTAGTAGTTTAAGGTATTCTCTCTCTACAACAGTAAAAGTTGAAGAGATACCAAAGCCACTTGTTGACAGACCTGTCCCATTTCTGAGTACTTTTGAGGTCCCGTTAGATACTGATGAACTCATTTCCTGTAGTGAATTAATGCCTCCAAATATTATTATGTCTCATAACATACTAGCAGGGGCCTCCAAAGCCACAAAGAATTATTACTGAGCCTGATTTAATGGTGGAATGGATGAGCCTACTGTTTGGATAGGGCCTTTCCATACTCCTCACATCACAGTGGGTATGAGCACTCTGACAGTAACCCTAATCATTTTGCAATACAAAACCAACTGAAGATAAATTTGGGGAAAAACAAAAAGAAAAAACCCAAATAGTTTTGGAAAGAAAGATGTAATCTTCACCACCATCCACCAGAGGGCACCATCTTTACATGAGCCTGGAAAGGGCACTTGCTCTCCGCTTGGTGTTGGCTATCAATTTAAAAGAAATGAGGGAGGGATGAAGAGGATGGCAGAAAAATACATAAGCAAGTGATATCCAAGCATCCAGGAAACATAATGAAGGTCTGTTTCCTGTTAAACTAGATGTGTAGATATGAACAAGCATAGAATTCAATTGATAGATATAGATTACATAGATATATATGTCTATATACGTGGATATGTACATATAGATATCTATATGTAGATAGATATAGATATCTATAAGTAGATATATAGATATAGATATGTGTGTGTATCTCAAAAATGCAACAGTGTCAAAATGCCCTTTGAGCTAAAATGGCTGCTTTTTAGCAACTCTATAAAAATCATCAAAATGTCCTCATTTAGCCCATCATATAATAGGCGTGCAATTAATAGTTGGTGAATGTAAATAAGGTTTGTATCTAGTACAACTGAAGCACAGATGAAATAGTTTAATTCTGATCTGGGTTTCAAAGGATAAATAGGAGTTCGTTAGAGGAATTCAGGACAGGCATTCCGAGGTCTTGTACATTCCTCTACTCAGACACTGAACCTGGACAACCACAGGCTCAGCAGTGCAGTTCTAGTGATGGGCTTTCATGGCTCAATGGTAACAGAGAAAACTGTTGAGTTCCTGCCCCCTAGGAAGGGTGGCTAAGGAAGAGCTACAGAAAATTGTTTTATGGAAAGTTCAGTTATTTGCTTTTCAATTTGAAAGCAGAAGATTATTAATGGGCTCTTACCCATGAAAGGAAATGTGCCAACAAAAAGAATGCTTGCAATTGCTTGTATTGTAATCAATATTCAATTTATTACAGTACACATTTAATGAACTAATTATTAAGCTTTTAAACTTGACATATAGAATTATTTATAAATTTAGTAATTTTATTTAAAAATTGCTTTTACTTGTTAATTATTTTTCGATAAATCATAATTTTATAAATCAAATTCTAAACAGATACCGTTGCTATATTTAATTAATAATAATTTCTTAGATATTTCAAATCATGAATTTAAAATATCTGATTCTTCTGAATATTTTAAATACCTAATAAGGCAGATTTATAAATCTAACAAAGAAAATTCTCTAAGAACTTAAAAGGCTCTTGTAAATGTAATTAGTAAAATTTTAAAAGTAGAACAAATTGTAAGCATTTTATTTTATTAAAAACAGCATATATAAAATAGCATACATTTTTAAAAGTATATTTGCATGAATAAAACTTAAACCAAAGGAAACTTATTCTTTATATACACAAAAGGTTTAAATTTACCAACCCAACCAAAAGAAAATTAACATCTCAAACTACTTGTGGCTTCGCTGTCCAAAACTCAGAATTACAATACATATTTTCAGTCAAAGAACATCTGACAGGGACCTTCCAAGACTAAACCTACAACTGTCAAGTCGTCTCCTTTGTATGATCATATCCGTGAGGGTTTTTTTTTTTTTTTTTTAACCTTCAGCCAACACTTAATCACCAATCACAAAAGATTCTACTACTTTTAACTCAGTATCTTTCCCTGAAACGAATTGTTAATTAGATAGGTCATTTTAGTGGAAGACTTTCCAGTTTTTATTCTTCTTCTGTATTACTATAGTAGTATAACTGCATCTAGATCTAATATGCACCAAAGCATTTTGAACCCTTTATTCAGGCTGAAATTGTACCTCCCTTGACTTTTAGAAATTGTATGTATTGCATTGACAACCATTCTGAGGTCTTCATGTTGAAATCTATTATATTGGCAAAGTTGACAACAATTAGCTGCAAAGTAGAAATTCTCTCTGCTGTGTCTTTCCCCATGTAACTCACCACGGGCGATAGCAAACATGAAGTTCTGAATCAGGAGACACAGTTCTGCCCAAGAGGTCTGTGGACTGTCAATATTATATTGAGAGCTTTTGTAAGTTAACACTGGGACATCGACTCTGTGTCATTTGCTCTGTCTCTCCCTCACCCTCTTTCAATGTCCCAACCCCTCAATCAGACAATTTTTTTTTATTGAGGTAACATTGGTTCATAACACTACACAAATTTAAGGTGTACGTCATTATATTTTGATTTCTGTATAGATTACATCATGTTCACCACCCAAAGACTAATTACCATCCATCCCATAAACATATGCCTAATCACCCCTTTCACACTCCTCCCTCCCCCTTTCCCCTCTGGTAACCACCAATCCACTCTCTGTCTCTGTGTGTGTGTTGTTGTTTTATCTTCTATTTATGAGTGAGATCATATGGTATTTGACTTTCTCCCTCTTACTTGTTTCGCTTAGCATAATACCTTCAAGGTCCATCCACCTTGTCACAAATGGCAAGATTTTATCTTTTTTATGGCTTAGTAT